TCACGGCGGCGGGGGCCCCCAAGGAGGTCTCCAATGGTGGTGGATAAGATCCCAGGGCTTCTCCGCTGCCATCAGAGACCTCCCGGGGGTCCCCCCCACCCAATCGGCACCTTCAGGCTTTCCCGGGGAGTAGACTGGGGCTACTGGGGGAAGTCCTCAGGAGGGCTTCCCCCAGTAGGCCCAGTCTACTCCCCAGGAAAGCCTGGTAGACCAGTCCTACCAGGGTAGGGCTTCCCCCGGTAGGCCAGATCTACTCCCCAGGAAAGCGTGAAGTCGCCGATCGTGGTGGCAGGGAACCCCCGGGAGGCCTCCGATGGCGGCAGAGAAGCCCTGGGAGCTTCCCTGCTGCCATCGGAGACCTCACTGGGGGTCCCTGCCACCGCGATCGGTGCCTTCAGAAGTTTCAAAGGGCTTTCCCCCCGACATCGGAGGAAGCCGTTTGAGAGCTCCGAAGGCAAAAAGGCACAGAGAAAGGGTGGGAAATTCGAATTTCCAGCCCTTTTGCCCTGCCTTTTTGCCTTCAGAGCTCTCAAATGGCTTCCTCCAATATCGGGGGGGGGGAAACCCTTTGAGATCTCCAAAGGCGCAGATCATGGCAGCAGGCACCCCCAGGGAGGTCTCCCAGGGTGGTGGAAAAGCCCTGGGAGATCTCCCTAGGGGTCCCTGCCATCACGATCTGTGCCTTCAGAGGTCTCAAATGGCTTCCTTCGATGTTGGGGGGAAAGCTGTTTGAGACCTCTGAAGCCAAAAAGGCAGGGAGAAAGGGTGGGAAATTCAAAGCTCCGAAGGCACTAATCGCTCCGTTGACATTGACTTGCGAATGGAGCCTCGTTTGAAGGCACTAATCGCTCCGTTGACATCGACTTGCGAATGGGGGGCGAGTTGATGCCAATTTTTTCCAACGGAGTGGTTTGTAAGTTGAAATGTTCGTAACTAGGGCCATTGGTAAGTCGAGGGTTGACTGTAATCATACTCTGTGTATTGTTAACGAATGTACCTTAGCCTCATATGCCTCCATCTTTTCATGTGACTGCTGTGAGATCAGAAGTGATCCCTTTGGTTTCACCATCATGTGGTTTAGCTTAATATTATTCCAATAAGACCATTTTCTGTACATTTATTTCCCTGTTTTTTCTCTTGCTTCCTGACAAACTTTGCTAATTTAATCATGTATACCTAATTCCATAATATTTTAACAATGAATTAATTTTTCTCAAGTTGTGGTAAATAATGATACAATTGCATCACAATTGTTTCCACATACTTTTTGTAAACTGTGACCTTAATATAGCAAAACAAAGCTATTAGTGAGTAGTAAGGTGTTATATCTTTTCATATCTTTAATCCATTTTAAGATTGACATCCAATAACTTCCAGTGCTGAACAAATCCAAGACCTAACTATCTTTGAGAGGATAAAAAAAATATTCTGGGGATGTAGCCCCCCACCTTCCTTGTCTAATGATGAACACATTTGAAAATGCAAAGATGTTTCTCACATGGCTGCATAGCAATCTGGCAGCAAATTTGTAGCCATTAATATTGAGCTATAACAGGGGTGGGCAATTAATTTCTATTGGGGGGCCACATGAAAAATCTGAACTGTGCCTGCAAATATGATGGCTATCCTGTTTTTGACCCAAATGAAACGTCTGAACTTTCCAAGGCAGCCACTTCTACAGAGCTTGGGAGGGAGGGGAGTTCCTTTTTTGGACTACAGTTCCCAGAATCCCCATGCCACATCTTGTAGTCCAAATTTTTTTTGCCAATATTTGTGAAACAGGCAACTTCCCAAACTTTATCAATGAGCCTTGGCCTAAGATGGAAGAAGGATGTTTCTTCCCCTCCACTAGATGTTGCACACTGTTGTTGTTATTGTTATTTCTCCTCCTATTAAAACAAGGGGATAGGAAGGTACGTGCCAGCTCCAGACTGGGGAAGATTAGGGGTTTGATCCTGGAGCTCACAGACATAATAAAGAGCCACTGATCTAAAGATTACCCTTCGGGAAGGCCTTCATATACAGGGGCTTGCGTAGGGTGGCCACAAGCCCTGTTTTAAAAGGAGTCTGCACATGCTCAGAGGCACCCTTGTCGTTCTCCCCCCCAGCCGCCCGTCTTGCGTGGTCTGTCTCCGTACGTTCGGGAAATTGAAGGGAAAGAAGGGGGGGGAAATACAAACACACACACACACACACACACACACGAGGGGCCTCAGAGAGGAGCGGAGGCAAAGGCATCGCCTTCTGCCCCCTTCTTCCTTGCCATGGCTGCCCCGCTGCCCTCGCCCTGCCGCCACTCACAGGCACCACAGTCGCCAGAGGCTGTGACGGCGCCACTCGCCCACCACTGCCGCCAACCCCGCCATGGCTGCCCCAATGAGCTGGGAAGTGGGACCGTGGCGGTGATGATGGCTGTTGGGCCTGTCAGGCCAGCCCGGCCATGGGCGGGCAGAGGAAGAGACTGAGGCGAGGGTTCGGAAGCCCGTCCCTGAGGGAGGAAGGCAGTTCCTTCAACTTTCCCTCAACCCCCTGCCCGGCAGAGACGTGGTCCTTTGAGCTTTCTTCCTCCCTTCAGGAGGAAAATTCCACCCCCTTCCTTGGCATTCAGTCCATTTTTCCAGGAGGGTTTTTTTTTTCCTGACAAGATGTTGGGCTGTGAAGTGGAAGATGCCACCATGGCTGCCCGTCCGTCCATTCCTCCACTTTCAAAAGATACACTAGGACCGCGGTATCAGCGGGGATCAGTTGCAAGAACACACACACACACACACACACAAACGAGGGGCCTTGGAGAGGAGTGGAGGTGAAGGCATTGCCTTCTGCCCCCTTCTTCCTCGCCATGGCCACCTTGCCACCCTTGCCCGGCCGCCACTCACGGACACCACAGTCACTGGAGGCCCACGCTGCTCGCCCCCCGCCGCCAACCCCACCATGGCTGCACTACTGAGCTGGGAGGCGGGGCGATGGCAACGCTTGGGCCTGTCAGGGCAGGCAGAGGAGGAGACAGAGGCAAGGCTTCAGAAGTCCCTGAGATACTAAAGCGGTTCCCTCCACTTTCCTTCAGCTGCTCAGGGCTTTCACTCAGCGGTGACCAGCGGGCCAGACAGGGAGCGGCTCGCGGGCCGTATGTGGCCCATGGGCCACACTTTGCCCAGGTCTGAGCTATAAGGAGCTTTGAAGCTATGTGAATAACAGCAGTTGGAAAGTATACCTAGTAAGTTCAAAATTATTGAACATAGAAAATAATTCTCACACATAAAAATTATGACGTGCTTGACAGTTATTCTGGATGGTTTTTGTTTGTTAGTATTTGCTATGCGATGTTTATAAGTTTTGATTATTCCTATTTTT